CCCTTGGCAGGGTTTTGTGTGGAGCTGGTGTTCGCTCGAAGGTACGGATTGACTGCAAAACGTGCAATATGTGTACAAGGTTCATGTCGTATGACCTGCAGACAGCAGACCACCTCCACAATACGACCATGAAAGGATGAGATGGTGGGGCGCTCTGGCGGTACTTTACGGTAGTACTCGTACTCTAGTCTAGCGACTGACTGTACATGATTGTGCTCAATGTACTGGCCCTGTACTGGTCATGTGAGTCCGCGGCCTCCGCGACCAGTGCCGCTCGCGTACGCGAGACAGTCATGCACTAATGAACGGTTCGCAAGCTGGTGTGTGTGTGTGTGTGTGTGTGTGTGTGTGTGTGTGTGTGTGTGTGTGTGTGTGTGTGTGTGTGTGTGTGAATGAATGAATGGTCTCTTCCTGACTTTTCTTTCTTTCTCCTGGGTGGTTACCAACAGCCAGTGTATGCCGGAGTATGTGGTGTGTGTGTGTAGAAAAAAAGAAGAAAAAAATGGAAAAATTAAAAATAGGGATTCACTGGCCAGAAAAAGTCACTTCAATCAGCTGTGTGCACGGCTGTTTTCAGCACGACATCTATAAAGATGGCGACGACCTGTAGCAACGGCCTTGGATACGGGACGCGCGTGTACCGCGTGGGCACGCGATTGAGTTTTCATGCACGAGTGATTGTGGAAATTCAAATTATTTGGTTGCTGCGCTGAAGCGCATGAGGAGAAATGAGGAGAAAGTTTGTTTCTTTCGTCTTCATCTGAGACGGCACGCTTAGAACACCCATTCCATCACGCGTGCAATGATGGACCCCTTTCCCACTCCGAAGAGCAACAACGAAATAATAAGTAAAACAGTTATTTATCGGCCTATTTCTCCTTGCAATGATTCGAATTAATATTAGACCTGACGCGACGATCTTTTCTCCTCTTAGCAGAAGGCATTTCGTTCTGTAACTTGGGGATAGTCCTCAAGTAGTGCTGGCGAGTGATGGAGAGCAGTCGTTGAAGTGGACATGCAGCGCTGCATTTCTTGTCCAAAGTGTTGAACGCTGCATGGAGAGCCTCGCCACCTTGCTCACACAGAAGACTCAGTCCACAGCCAAAGTGGGTCATCTGTGGCACGACATGCTGCTCCAGCAGGTGTAACTTGGGAGTGATGTTCCCCAGATGGCGCTTCACGATCTGCTCTCTCACCAAGGTCATAAAGCTCTGGATGTGGCATTGAAGCTGGTGGAGCTGGTCTTCATTTACAGCTGAGGCAAGGTTGTAGACTGCACGACACTTCGCAAAGGTGGTGAAGAGTGCTGTGTATCGTGCAGCCAAGGAAGCAGCCATGTCTGTGACGGGGTGGTCGGCACCAAGTTCGTACTTCTCCAGAGCCTTGGAAGGAGCCTGGACAAGCTTGTGGACCAAGGCAAAGTTGCCATCTTTGTCGGGACTCAACATACGGTGAACGTGGTTGCCGACAAAGGTTCCGCCATGGTACTGTTGCCGTTTGATGTTGACAGTCTGTAGTGTGTCGTCGTAGGATGAAAGGCATGGCCCATCTGTCAAAGTCTTGACACTGTCGATGTGACCTTTGAGCACATCAAGCTCTGCTTTGATTTGTTTCTGCTGTTCAGATAGCTGTCTGTGCTGTAGCTGTAGCTGGCCTATCACTACTTGTATTCTCTGCACCTCAGTACCTGCTGCTTGTTGAAGGTGTATGGCATTGAACGTGAGCAGTTGCATCATGTCATCCAACTTAGTATCAATGGTAGCTAGCTCTAGTTCCTTAGACTTCCTGTCACTGTTCATCTTAACTAGATCATTAAAGGTACGACCATTCAGATCACAGTTAATGTCAGGCATGTGGTTGGCTAGTGCGACGTCAAGGGATTGGGTTTCCTGTAACATGCATTCAAATAGGTATGGGAATATCCCAAGATCCAAATGCAATGAGGGGATGCATGCATCCTCAATTGGCACGGGCAGAATGCATGGCCTCACAGCATTAAAGTATTTCTTTGCATTTGAAGCAACACCCCCACTCTCAAGAAACTCCTTGTGATTCTGTGCAAGTGTGGTCAGAGTCCGGGGCAGTACAGGCTGAGTCCTAGCTGCAGGTGACTGCTGGAAGTCACGCTTTGCAGTGTGGCAGTGCAAGCAAGGGAACACACCACTGCTACCGGAAAGACCGTAGTTGTGCGTCTGGAACTCATAGTCTCCAAACAACACAACCTTCACCTTGTACGACATGAATGTCATGGTGCTCAGCTCACGAATCTGTGCCTGAAAGGGCTGAAGTGCAGTGGCCATGTTGGCTGGTGAATCT